GCTTCTTCACTGTATCTCCACATGCTAACTCCTACTCATCTCTCAGGGTCCAATTCAAATGCCTCTTCTGTGAAGCCATGCCTTGTTTATCCTATGGAAACCTTTCCTTCTCTGAATTGAAAATGCTTTTGTCATTTCTTTGTCATGGCAGTTACTGCTTTTTATTATGTACTGTTGTTATTATTTATGTACTTTACATATGTCCCTCCCTTAGAGACTATCTCAAGGTATCAGCGTACCACAATGGAAAGAGCATAGACTTCGAATTCAGACAATCCCATTTTTAGTTTCTAGCTCTATCACTTTCTGATGAACCGTGTGACCTCAGGCTAAATATTTCATCTCTGTAAGCCTCAGGCTTCTCACCTGTAAAATGCTTAGATCACAGGTTTTTGAGAAGATTAAGTGGTGAGGGAGGAAACTGATTTAAAGAATCTATGGAAGTTAGGTTCCTTCCCCTCCTTCCTCATCTTGAGTTCTGTGCCCTCAGAATGGTATCGAACAAATATTAGATGCTCTAGACATTGTTGAGTAAATTACTAATTTCTTTGCTACTACTAAATAGATAAAGGGCACTATAATTTCTAGGATGCTACTATTTTATTGGGCTGATTTTTTTAAGGAAGTCTTTATTTATTTTTCATTGGAACAAATTACAGATTTACTAGATTAAAAAATATATAGAACGCAGAATTATCTGGTGGATAATGGTGATGTCATACAAACCATATTAAAAATCAGATGACTTCAAATTAGAAACATTCTTTTAGGGAAGAAAAAGTTAATTAGCTTAGGGTTAATAGCAGTTTATAGAAGCCACTTATTTTACCATACGAGCATAAACTAGGCTCTGAGGGAACCAAAAAGATGTTTCCTGGACTCTAAAGCAAGCCCGTTGTTTGTGTACTTGCTTTGTAAGCAGTGGACTCCAGGCTTACAATTTTCATTCTCATTATGTCAGATTTAAATATATTCTAGTGCCAATGGCTAGGATTATATTCCAGAGAATATAAGATTAGGAACCATAAAACTAGACTGTGATCTAAAGATTGTTCTAAAAAGTTACACTTCATTCCAAGAATATGAATTCCACAAGTACTAACAAATGGTGTTTGAATAGTCTGAAAGATTTTGACAATGTTGTAAACCCTTAATCACTTGAATAATTCAGAATAATGAAGCATATATATATATATATATATATATTTTTTTTTTTTTTTTTAAAGGAGGGCAGTGTCACTGGCCCTCATATGTGGGATCCGAACCTGGGCCCTCTGGCATCCCAAGCCAGTTCTTAACCATTGCGCCACTTGGCCAGCCCATGAAGCATATTTTAATAGCCTATATAGACATCCTTCTCTATCTTACTTAGTCTTTTTTTGAGTTTTTATTCATCATTGTTCAGTTTGTATATTACCATGGCTACTTCAATAGTATATCTAAATCTTCAACTTTTTAAGGATATATTTTTTAGAAGCTAACATTATACATCCATTGCCCTTTTTAAAAATAATGAACCGAGTTAGGAAGGAGAACTGACTCTGGGTGGTGAACACACAACATAGATGATGTATTACAGAATTATACACTTGAAACCTATGTAACTTTACTAACAATTGTCACCCCAATAAACTTTAAATTTAAAAAAAAATGAACCAAGTTGACCTCCAAATGTAATAGAGGCAGCATACATTTGTAATAAATAACATAATAAATATTCCTACATGGCAAACAGCCTTTAGCTATACTCCCATTTTGAACATATGACTTAAATAATAATAGCTACCATTTGTTGAACATGTATTGAGTGCCCAATATTTTAAATGTCTTATCCTGATTTTATAGTTAAGGAAATGTAACCTCAGAGAAATTAAGTAATTGTTCTTAAATCACCCAGATAATAAGTGATGGAAATGGCTTTTAAATCAGGATTGTCTGAATCCAAAGTTAATCCTTTTAATAACTGTGCTCTACTGGCTCTACAATAATATATACTTTCATTGCCTCTCATTCTTCGCATACTTCAAATTATTCTTACAGCTAATTTGGTCAGCCATCATGCAGCATTTCCTTTTCAACTTTCAAAATAATCTTCCCCTCAGAGACCTTAGTCTTCAGAAAATATCATCTAACATTTCTGAATTATTTACCAAAGTAAAAATTTTGCAAACCGGTATAATAAAGAGATAAGGGTTATTTAGTGGACAGAGCAAATGTGGTTGCGATTCCCTGTGCTCTGGAAATAGGAAGTGAGTACGTTTATCTGAGAAGTAACATAATGAGAGCCTCAACTAGGCATCGATGGTGAATGTCAAGAAGAGCAGTTATATGTGAGAAAGATTGGAAAATGATGTACTTTGTGATTCCGTGAAAGGGAGGGTGAAGAGTCCCAGAGGAAGTTTAAACTCTGGACATTAGACGCAAAATGGTTCCACGATCAGATAGGGACTTCAGAAGAAAGAACAGATTTAGGCAGGAAGGAGATGACTTCACATTTGGACATAGCGTGTTTGTGATTACTGAGACATCTAGCCTCTGCTGTCCATCTACATCGGCGCCCTTGAAATGGGGCTAGTTTGAACTGAGATGTATAAAATACACAGCAGAATGTGAAGAGTAGTATAAAAACTGAATGTAAAATGTCATAGTAATATTTTTTATATTGGTTGCATGTTGAAAAATACTTTGGATTTACTGAGTTATTGAGTTCAATAAAATATGTTAAATTAATTGAACCTGTTTTACCATTTTTTTAAATGTGGCTGCTAGGAAACTTAGAGTTGCATTTATATTTCTGATGGACAGCACTAATGTACATGAATATTTGTAACTCATAGAAATGTAATACCAAAATCAGGGCAAAAGATCTAGATTTGGAAATAACCTATGTAAAGGTGATAGTTGATGTTATGAAATTAGATAAAAATGCCAGTTTAAAGGGTGTAGGAACAAGAAAAATGCCAACAATTATAAGAAGAAGAGAAAGAGTGACTATTGGGTTGTTGGAAAAGTCATGACGTATTTTTTTATGTTTTTCATTGCAAAAATGCATCATGACTTTTCCTACAACCCAATAGAAGGAAAACTGGAGTCTCTGAAGTGGTACGTAAGTCTGATTAAGATAGAATTTCAAGAAGGATGGAGCGGTTAATGTTGAATGATAGAGAAGCCAAAGAGGAATAAGAGGACCGAGAAAAGGCCACTGAATTTGGTTGATACAGAAGCAGTTTCAGTAGAGTATAAGAAGGATAGATTGCAAGAGATTAAAAAGTTAGAGGTGGATGAATTAGGTTGTGTATATAAACTCTTCTTTCAGGCAGGGAGTCCACAGGGAAGATAATAATCACTTGTTGAGCAGAGTACAGGGAAATTTGAGCATGTTTGTTGGCTCAAAAAAGGATCTTTGAAGTAGAACTGCTTCAAGTTGTAAGAAAGAAGATAATTTCTATAGTAAGGTCCTTATGCATTGGGTTCCAAACCTGAATGCATAATAGAATCACCTGGGGAACTTGTCATAAGAGCAAATTTCCAGGCCATCCAACATTTAAAGAAATCATATCTGTGGAGGTTTGTTTTCTGGGACATATTTTAACAAGTTCTTCTAGGTGATTATGATGTATCCATATGGACAAACAAGTCAAGAAAACTTAGGGTGTGGGTGAGGACATCAGTGTTAAGGCTGACCTTAACATCCAGAATGGATAGAGAGCTAATTGGGGTTAGAAAAGGGCCAGTGGACCATGAACTATGGTTAAGGAGTTGGCTTTCATTATTATAAGAGTGAGCACAGGTTCAGTAGGAATGAAAGAGAAAGCTAAAAAGGTTGGAGATGTTGATCAGAGAGAAGTTTGAGAATTCAGGATCATGGAGGCCAAGCAGATAGAAAATATAAGCTGACTATTTGTTTGGTGTGGAAAAGAGGTAAAAAAAGAACTGAGCCATGCACATGGTAAGACCTATCCATTTGGTGATCCTATTATAGCACAGTGGTGAAAACAAAGCTTAAGAGATGTGGATATCAGGAGGACGCATTAAAGGTTGAATCAGTATGAAACTGTTACTATTTTAGACTCTTACAATTCCACTAAACCTTGGCATGATATCTCCTCCAGAATGACATGTCTGCTTAAGCTATAGTGTTCTGTTTCTGTGATCCACTCTAGCTTTTGTTGAAAATAGAGTGGTTGCTTGATATTCACAGATATAAAATGCATAGTTTTGACTATTCACAAGTGACCCTAAGGGTTCATGACATGGATAGTTATTCATTTTTTCCAAGGCATGAATTTAAATCTCTGTCCTAAAACTGGCTTGTAGAAACTAGTCACTGAACGAGTGACTCAGAGTGAAGCCAACATTGTACATTTCAGTTTGCCTTTAATTAAGATATGATTGTATTCGTCATCAGAATATGTCAGCCTGGTAGGTTTCACAGAAGAGGAAATTATTTGCCAAATTGCGGTATTAAATGGGTTAAAAATTTGAGTTTAAAAAATTGAGTTTATAAAATATTTAGCACTGCACCTAGCTTGTAATACTAAATAAATAATTAAGATAAATGGTAGTTATTTGTGTCAGTTAAGGAATTCAACAAGTTTTAAAGCCAAATTTTTTTGTGTTTGCCCAGGGTTAGTACTTATATTAAATAGTACTTATTTTAAAAATTTTTGTCTTGATTTGGATCTACATGAATTAATAAACTGAAATTAGAATGTTAAATTTGCAAGCAAATTAGAGGGAGGACAATGGGTCATTTACCACTTATCTTTTTCTGTTTGATACATTTGAAAGGGGGTATATTTTATAATACATCATGTTATAATGCTGCTATGAAAAATACTTTAAAAATACCCTTTAAGTATGTTTTCATACCACAAATGCACATACACAGAAACAAATTAGAGAGTTAATGTACCTGAAAACCAGATTTAGTTGTTTTTGCTAAACAACTTTCTCAGTATATTATGTACTAATGTGATATGATTGTCTTTGCTTTATAGTGAAGAGCTCAGAAAAGAAGCAAGGCAATTAAAGCGGGAACTCTTAGCAGCAAAACAGAAGAAAGTAGAAAATTCAGCAAAAGAAGCAGAAAAAACAAGTGAAGGTAAGGACGTTTACCAGGCTTATATTTTTACATGGTGCTTCTCCTCTTTCCTCCTCTTCACCTCCTCCTTCTATCCTGAGTTGAATTTTGCTTTAAAAAAAAAAAATACTTTCTTTGGACAGTGAGCCAATAAAATAAATTTCCACATAGGACTTTTGTCTGAGAAGTAAATTCAATCAAACATGATCATAATTTCTACTCCTAAATTAAAAAAAAAAAAAACTTAACATCAGGCAAATCTTAAATGTTGCCATAGCACATATCTAGATGTGCACAGAATGGAACATTTATTTTTTATATTGCATACCCTTTAAAACTTCTAAAAAAAAGTACTTAGGCCCTATGTTTGAGACTTGTATAAATATTGGTGCATTGGTTTGAATAGTACTAAATACAAACTCACTTTTTTGTTGTTTTTTTTATTTGACTCTTATGTTTAGATACAGAAAACCTAAAATATTGATAAAACCGATTAAAAGCTGCTCAAAATTATACCCTGCTTTTTATATAGGTTAAATATGTTCATTATTTTCCTATAAGTTTTATAAAGCTAGAAGCTTCAAAAAAGCTATTTCACTGAAGATCTTTAGTTTAAAACTGTTTTAGCTATAAAGCATATAATATTCAATTTCCAAATAGCAGATTAGAACCCTCAAATCTATTTTCTTTTTATAATCATAAATTACATGGGGATCATTGCTTATAATGAAAATGAATTATATGAAAATAATTCCTTTCTACTAGAAAGACCTTTTACTTAATTTCTTACCATTTTTAGTTAATAATTATTAGTACCCCATGGCTTAAGAACTATGCTGGACTACTACGGATGTGAAGTTGGCAATGGATGGATATTTCTTACGTTGGTAGTTCATGATGTAGTAAGAGTGAGAGAATTGCAAATAGATAATTACTGTAGCAGTGCTGTATGGTTAAGGCCTAGATTAGACATAAACAGCGCTTGTGTTTATCTGCTTTTGAAATATTAAATACAATTAGGTGAAGCAAGATTTGAGCCTTAAAGAATGATTTCTTAACACGAAAGAAAAGATTCTTATGGAGCTTATTTCAGTCTATTTATGTGAAAATTGGCCATGTTAAAATCTTTTTTTTCCCAGCGGCAGCTACCATGAAGTGGTCTCCCAAACAAGACATGAGACCATCTGGCCCCCTAAAAAATATTTACACCATTATTGATTATATTCCCCAAACTGTCTTTTCTATCCCTGAGGCAATATTGTAGTTACCAATTTATGTTGTCTCATCCCCTCCCCTTCTCCCTCATTCTCACCCCCTCCCAACTAGCAATCAAACTATAATTTAATACATATATAGTCGTGGGATGTGGAGTAGAGAGTGGGAATTGAGTCAATGGAATTGCAATAGATAAGTATAATATCGGGGGTGGAGGGGCAGTGGATGAGGGGGGGTTGTCACTTTGTGAAGGGTGAAAAGGATAACTATTGCATGGTTTTGTACACCTGAAACTAATAATAATAATAAAAAATAAATAAAAATTTAAAAAACTTGTTTTTTGCCATAATTAGAAAGAGAATTATATTAGTAATTACTTTTCTGAATTTAATTTTCTTTTTATCATCTAGAAATACCTGGATGTTCTCTAAGTCTGAATAACTTTGAGAAAGATAAAATTAGCTTCCAAAAAAATTGGGTCATACGGTTGCTATTATTTTTCTTCTAAACTCAGAATGAGCCATTTTATGTATTTATTTTTTATTGATTTATTTTGAAATAATTTTAGCTTTATGGAGAAGTTACAAAAATAATACAGTTCCCTTGTACTTTTAACGTTAAGGCCTTGTATAACCATAGTACGATGATCAAAACCAAGCAATTAATGTTGATACCATACTATTAATGAGCTGCAGACCTTATTAAAATTTCACCAGTTTTCCCACTGGTTGTCCTTTCTCTGTCCTGTGATTCCACCCAGAATTCCGTATTGCATTTAGTCGTCATATCTCCTTATTCTCCTCTGATCTGTGACAGTTCCTCAGTCTTGTCTTTTCATAACCTGACACTTTGAAGAGTCCTGGTTAGATTATTTTATAGAACATCTCACTTTGAGTTTGTCTGATATCCTCTTGTGATTAGATTGAGGTTATGCGTTTCTTGGCAAGATTGCCACATAAGTGTTATGTCCTTCCCAGTGTATTATATCAGAGGTAACAAGATGTCTACTGTCTTTTTGCTGGTGGTTAAAGTGGTGTCTGCTGATTTTCTACACTATAAAATTACTCTTTTTCCTTTTGAGATTATATTCTTTGGGGAAGATACTTTGAGAATATACAAGTATTCTGTTTCTTTTCAAGCTTCTCCCCACTAAATTTAGCATCCATGGATGGATCAGGCCTGTATTCAGCAGTTATTTACTGTGGTGTTCTCACGGTGCTTCTCTGTTTCCCTGAGTCCTGTTACTTTTATTGCTTGGAATTTTTCTGTAAGAAAGAGCTCTCTCTTCTGTTATTTATGTACTTACTTATGTCAATATGTATTTATTTTATTCTATGTGTTATAACCCCAAATTGTCATTATTTATTTTGCTGTTCAAATAATACCAGCGTTGGCCCATAGGAGTCTTTTCAGGTTGGCTTCTGTATCCTTTCATCTTGCCCCCATCCTCTGAATACTTCCTTATTTCCTGCCACAAGATGCTCTAGATTGATCTTATGTTTTTGCCTTCTTCACGCCTCGAATCAACTGCTTCTCCAAGGAATGCTGATTCCTCTTATTTGAGTTTGTATTTAGAAACCAAGATGTGGACACTTAAGTTGTCCACTTTATTCTGATTCTAATATTTTTAAGAGTGTTATTAGGAGCAATATCATATTATCATTCTTTTAGAATGGTTAACAAAATTTGGTTTTAGCTCTTAACTATGATATGTGACGGGTTACCTTTTTACTGGGATTGTATTTCTCCTAAACTTACATTTATCTTTTAAAATTAGCAAGTATACCTTATAAGATAATAGAAAATTATTTAGTGTGAAAGATTTGTGAATTTCAGTAAACACTACATTTTATTTGATATTCACATGTTCCTGTGCAGTTTTCAAGTCTAGAAGTGCTTCTTTCCCCATGATTAAAAACAATATAATGAGCCATCTCACTGCATAGCATTATGGAAACAAAGTAGCATTTTAGGGATCCTTGAATGTATGTCAGAACTTAGCTTATCTTCTCAGCCACCAGATCTTCCAAGGTTAGAGCTATGTCAACTCTGGGAACAAATCCAAAGGTTCTCATATGCATTTGCATAGTAAGATTATCACATGAAAAGAATTTGGACAGTGTTATTTGACCATGGCTCTATAACTGCATGCATCGGTTGAGACGAATACCGTGAACCTCTTCAGGAAAGATTTCTTGATTGGGCCATATGGCTACATATCAGGCTTTTCTAAAGCATTTTATTTTAGTCCAAGGCTAAATTATCTGAGTATTATGGCAACTGTGAATGATTTGGCCTTTTGAACACGATATGCTGTATCTAGCAATTTAATTTGCAGTAAACTTAGAAATAGAATCAATATTAAAACAAGCCTTGTGAATATTTTGGTGTGTAGTAAATTGTTGTGTAATGTAGACCTATCTTCCATATGAATTTTCATCAGGAAGCATATACCACATGTGCTAATAAAAAGAAACTAGAAATACATAATTTTGTTATTTTTAATAGTACTTTGATAGTAATACTTGCTGTTTGTTATATGTAACACTAATAATCATAAGAATGCTTTAGAATATTGTGTTTTCTCAAAAAATAAACAGTAAAGTATAAGACTCTTAATTCCAATTACTGACAGTGAAATTATTTAAGCCTCTGTTACTCAGTTTTCTTATCATAAAATGCCTTGTACACCCCGCAAGTTTCTTTAAGAAGTAAATTAGATAATGAGAAAACCTTAAATAAATTTACATTGCTACATAAAAATAATAATTTTAAATTTGTAAGAGAAAAATATAGCTATCACGGTTCCATTGTTTCCTATCCAAATCCTACAAATTGAAAATAAGAATTTTAAGGCTGTGTTCATTGCAGTTAAAGCCTATAATCAATATGGCTACATATAAATACGACATAAATTAAAATCTCAAAATAAACATTTATGCATTGTCACAATTGCCTTCTATAATCCTATTTTCTTAAACTGTGTATGTGTGTGGTCTTGTATACATTCTCAAGTAAAGCTACAGTAGTATTATTTCCTGGTTTTATGAATGTATCTGGCAAGTCTAATACTTGCTGACCATTGACACTTCATTTTAGAATTTAATGTATTATCCTCGAATTAAAAACACTTGCAAAGAAACCCATAAGAACCAGAAAACTTTGCTTTCTAATGCCCATGCATCAGTATACCTAGTTTGTCCTTGTGTGAATGAAGGCTTCCCATTTATCCAGGTGTCTAATAGGCATGATACTTTCTGCAAAGCTTCAGTTCTCTTAAAGCACCTTTGATCGGGAGTAATATCCCTTTGGTTTTACAATTTTACCCAATTTCCTGGGCTAGATACTTATGTCAGATTTGTATAGATGATTAGGAATTTATATTCTAAGAATAGTTCTGCTTCTAAATCTATTCTGTCACCTTAGGCAAGTTACTTTAACATCAGGACCCATCTATTTCTCTATCATAAATGTAAAGATAAATAAGATCTGCTATTCCTGTTTTTAATGTCTTACTATATTTTTATTAATTCCTTTGGTTCCATTATGACAAAATAAAATAAATAAAAATCATTTGAAAGAAAGACTGTTGCTTTATGTTAATAAATACTTTGGGCTCCATACAATTGAACAACCCTAAATACATCACCATTTGATACGACCTGCTTGTGGTTCCGGTGCCATGGGTATAAGCACATTTCCAAGCTCATCCAACTATACACATCCAAACATGTGCAGCTCATTTGTACACCAACATGCCTCAACAACCTGCCCCCAGAAGAGAATATTAACCTATCACCCAAAAA